AAGCAGCATTGAACACCTGGGATAAGGTTCGTGGGCCAGGAGAATGCCTAGAAGCTTATACCAGAATAGAACAGGGACCTACAGAACAGTTCCAGGACTTCTTACAAAGGTTAACTAGGGCAGTAGAATTACAGGTAACAGATCCAGAAACAAGACAATCAATTATATATACAATAGCTTATGAAAATGCAAACCCAATATGCAAAAGAATAGTTTTGCCTTTAAAGATCAGATCAGCTCCGCTAGAAGAATGGGTTTTGTATGCAGCCAACATACACTATAATGCACAAGATACTAGAGCTTGGGTAGGAGAAGCCATCTCCAAAGGTTTAAAAAGGCAACAGGAGATTAAAAGTTCTAGAGGTGAGGATGCAAGAGCTTGGGAAAGAGAAGCCCCTTTCTCTATAAGTACCAAGAGACTAGACGTTACTACTACTATGAAGCAGAACCTTGGGTAGGAAGAGCCTTCCCCTGGAGACCACGAAGGCGCCAGGAACCTAGATGTTTCAGCTGTGGTAAAATGGGACATACTAAGAGAAATTGTAGACAAATTTCTAACAATGCCTCATATGGAAGGCCATTGCCTTCTGTATTGTGTAGAAGATGTGGTAAAGGCAGGCACTGGACCAATGAATTAGATCGACCAGAGACATTCAAGGAAACCTGTTAAGGCCGTGAAACCCTGAGGGGGGGGCCTCAAGAAGTCCCCCACATTGAGAAAGGTCTGGTCATTCCCAGTAGCAGTGGGAGACAATCTCTCACAGGACGAATAGTTTTTAGCCTATTGTGAAAAATGATACTGCTCTAGATGGTAGTTTGAATAGTGATGAAGAATCAAATGTGACTGGACAAAGTGAGAAACGCATATTTTGGCAAACTTCTATTAATGATAAAAGACCTTAGTTAAAAGTGAAAATTAATAATAAAGTTATTTCTGGCTTACTAGAAGCTGGGGTGTATGTGACTATTATTACCCAAAAGTCTTGGCCTCAGAAATGGCCTCTTAGAGAGGCGAATGTACAATATTTAGGAATTGGAACTCTATCTAGAGTTCAACAGAGTGCTAACTCGGTGGTCTGCATTGGACCGGAAGGACAAAAAGGGAGACTGAAACCATACACGGCAGATATAGCTATAAACCTCTGGGGTCGTGATATTTTACAGCAATGGAATACTCGGATTAATATTCTTCCAGTGTTGGCTACAAATTATGTACAATCTTTAGATAGTAGGAAAGATCTGGTAAGATGCTATGGAAAACGTTTACCAACCATCCATGCTGTACAGACACTAGGTACAAATGATGGACCTTCAGAGGAGCCAAAGGCCCTGCCATTGAAGTGGCTTACAGATGAACCTGTTTGGGTAGGACAATGGCCTATGACCTCTGAGAAGCTAGAGACTTTATAAAAGTTAGTACAGGAACAGCTAGACCCTGGACATATAGAGGAATCTACCAGCCCTTGGAATTCTCCTGTATTTGCTATCAAAAAGAAGTCAGGTAAGTGGAGAATGCTGACAGACCTGAGAGCCATAAATAAGGTAATTCAACCAATGGACTCTCTGCAACCTGGAATGCCATTGCCTTCCTTGATACCTAAAGGATGGCCTATCATAGTTATTGATCTAAAAGACCATTTTTTTCACAATACCGTTTCAGGAAAATGATGGAGAAAAATTTGCATTTACTGTACCAACTCTTAATAATTCACAGCCAGTCAGGAGATACCAGTGCAGAGTTTTGCCACAAGGAATGCTAAATAGTTCTACTTTGTGTCTTTTCAAAAGAAATTTTCACAATCTCTTGTTTATCATTACATGGAAGATATTCTTTTATCAGATTCCAATAAGGAAACTTTGGAACGTATGTTTGACTTGGTGAGGGAAGTTCTGCCTCGATGGGGGTTACAGATTGCCCCAAAAAAGATAAAAAGAGGAGATTCTATTAACTATTTAGGTTACAAAATAGATTTATAAAGAATCAGACCTCAAAAGGTACAAATTAGAAGGGATTGTTATCAAACTCTTAATTCTCTTCAGAAACTATTAGGGGAAATTTCTCAATTACAGATGATTATTGGTGGAGAAATACATGACTTAAAGCATTTAAAAATGGCCCTTAAAGGTGATAAGGACCAAAACAATCCAAGAATATTATCCGCTGACGCAGAAAAAGAGTTACAATGGGTAGAAAACAGAATATTGGATGCACATGTAGATCGGATAAACCTTAATTTAGACTGTATTCTGGTTATCATGCCATCTAGAGAATACCCTTCTGGGATTCTGATGCAGAGGGAAGACACCATATTGGAGTGGATATTTCTGCCACATAAACAGAGTAAAAAGTTAAAGACATATATAGAAAAGATTTCTGATTTGATTTTAAAGGGAAAATTAAGACTTTGCCAACTGACTGGAAAAGATCCAGCAGAAATTATAGTACCTTTAACTAATGAGGAAATTTCCTCCTTGTGAAAGGATAATGAATATTGGCAAATAGCTCTTACTGACTTTTTGGGAACAGTTAGCAACAATTATCCCAAAACTGACAAAATTAAATTCATAAAAAAGACAGTCTGGATTCTTCCACGTATTGTAAGACAAACTTCCATTTCTGGAGGTCTTACATTGATGCCAACAAATCAGGTAACACAGGTTATAATGCAGGTGAGGTAAGTAAAGTAATTCAAAGATCATATACATCTGTACAGAAGGCAGAATTATATGCAATTCTCATGGTGCTTATGGATTTTACAGAACCTCTTAATATAGTTACTGATTCCCAATATGCTGAGAGAGTCGTCTTACACATTGAGACTGCAGAATTTGTTCCTGATAATACAGAATTAACTTCTCTGTTTTTACAATTACAGGAAACTATCAGAAACAGAAGTAGTCCTATACACATTATACATATCAGATCCCATGTGGGTCTGCCAGGCCCACTAGCACAAGGTTATGATGAGATTGAGCTTTTATTAATTGGAAGTGTTTTAGAAGCCTCAGAATTTCATAAGAAACATCATGTAAATAGCAAAGGTTTGAAAAAGGACTTCTCCATCACTTGGCAACAAGCCAAGGAGATAGTGAGAAACTCTCCTACTTCTTCTTTTTATAATCAAACTCCATTGCCAGCAGGTTGTAATCGTAAGGGCATTTGGAGAAATGAAGTTTGGCAAATGGATGTCTTTCACTTTGCACAATTTGGAAAATTGAAATATGTGCATTATACTATAGACACATTCTCAGGGTTCCAATGGGCTACTGCTCTGAACTCTGAAAAGGCTGATTCTGTTTTTACACACCTGCTAGAGGTGATAGCAGTTATGGGTATACCTGCACAAATAAAAACTGACAATGCTCCAGCATATGTCTCTACAAAATT